CCGACACCTGCCTCTGTGCTCCGTTAAGGTGCCCGGGCGGTCATTGGTGGGGGGTACGCGTCTGTCCCACGCACATGCGGTCAGTGACAGCGGAGTGAGCTTCCCAGGGAGAGCCTGAGGGCGAGCCTGTTGTTACAGCCGCAGCAGAGGCCCTCTGTTGTGAGCTCCCCAAGTTTCTAAGAGCACCAGGAATTAATTAATCAAGATGAAAAAACCTGTGTTTTCACCTGATTTCCCGATTTCTTTAACAATATTTGTGAGTTCTCCTCTTCTGTTCCTCATTCCCCACTTTGGGGATTTAAACAAGTTAAAAGAATCTAGTAGTTCTTAGATATGTTTATGTCAAATTATAGCATCCACAGCATATTGCATTTATCACCTGAGAGCTCAGTTTTGTCGTTCTCTGGCTGTGTTTCTTTGCTAAGGTGAATGTCTTTGATGCTAGTTGAGACCATGGGAGTGGCATTGGCGAGAGCAGCTCAGTGGACGGCTGCTGGTTGTGGAACCGGCACACTCGAAATCACCCCTTTGAACGAATCTCTTTTAAATCAAATTATTAAGTTTGTGGACGACTTCAGTACTAGACATCCTCAGGAAGCGGCGTTTGTCTTCAGAGAGCCACTTGAGTGGAAAACGCAATTGGGCTGTTCGGAGTTTGGCGAGGGTTATGAGATCGAGTAAGTGTGAGTCACATTGTGTTCTGAAATGTTGGAGGTGAACTGCAAAGCAAAACTGTGCTCATTTAGCATAAAGAAAGCCTTTGTGTATTTGGGAGGCTGAAATGGGTGGGATTTTTACTGATAGATATTGAAAATTTTGAGTTAAAATTTGTAGGTTTTTTGAGAGTTTGAGACTATTCTCTCTTGGTTGTGATACAGACCTGTTTAGTTAGTGATTTATACAACTTCCCCTGTCTATTCCTAAAACTTTTTACAACATGCATCTAACAGCAATTAACCCTGTGACTTCTGTTAGTGTTAGGAGTGGTTCTTGTGTGGTGAGCTGACCTTGTCCGACTGCCAGGTGCCCACGAAAGCTGCTCTATCATTCCTCCTCTTCAGCTGGACAGGGGGCGAAAAATATAATGAAAGGCTTCTGGGTCAAGATAAGGACAGGGAGAGATCTGTCACCCATTAATGTCACAGGCAAATCAGACTTGACTCAAGGAAATTAATTTCATTTATTGCCAATCAAAAGTCAGAGTAGGATAATGAGAAATAAAAACAAAACATCTTTGCCCCACCTCTTCCTACCTGAACTCAACTTTACTCCCAATTTTCTCTATCTCCTCCCCCTGAGTGGTACAGGGGGACAGGGAGTGAGGGTTGTGGTGAGTTCGTTAAACGTTGTTTCTGATGCTCCTTCCTCCTCACACTCCTCCCCTGCTCCAGGGTGGCATCCCACCCACAGGAGACAGTCCTCCACAAACTTCCGATGTAGGTTCTTCCCATGGGCTGCAGTTCTTCACAGTCTGCTCCAGCCTGGGTCCTTTCCACAGAGCGTAGTCCTTTAGGAACAGCATGCTCCAGCCTGGGCTCTTCCCAGGAGTCTGCTCCAGCATGGGCTCTCCATGGAAGCACAGCCTCCTTTGGGTGCATCCACCTGCTGATTTGCAGTGAATAAATTGGTTTACCTTGGAAGTTTTCTGAAATACAGTTTAAAGAAATTGTGTATGCTTTATCATGTGAAGCTTGAATAATGTTTAAGAATCATCTCTAAAGTTTGATGTTTATTAAATTTCTTATTTTAAAAAGATATGATTTATTTTTTTCTAGTGGAGCAATTGTTCAGTCTGAAGCCAAAGGTGAAGATGGCCAGCCGTTGCTTCTCCTCACAGAATCAACTCTCAGAGTTCGCAGTTTTCACCAGCTGTCCCATTTCCTACAAATTGCTATGGAAAAAAAGTTAAAGGAAGCACGGGCATGCCTTGAAGGTTTCTGTTCTTTTTTTTGTCTTTCCTCTCTCTTAAAACGTGTGTCTTCTCCTTCAATTTATGTTTATAAAATGTGAAGAGAAAAAGGCATGCATTCATTTTAAGCATATGAGGTGTTGATTCATGAAGGTGCTGATCCAGAACTTAATGAAGTTTCTATTTCCTCTTTTATTTTCACAGAAATCAATAACAGAGAAATCTGGAATTAAGTTAAAATAAAACTGTTGAATCTCATAGACAAATTCATGTATACTGAGTAATACTACAGGTATTGCAACAGTCAGTAGGTTTCAGTTCTGAAAAATAATGTCTTATTGGAGGCTAATAGCAGTTTTTCCCATGTTTGTAGTTTAATCCTCTTTTAAAATGTTACATCCTTAAAAAATAGCCAAATAAAAACTTATATGCTTAAGACATTCTTACCTGCACAAGGTTCACAGTGAGCACTTCCAGGTCCTTCTCAAAATGGCTTTTAAAATATAGGTACGAGTACTTTTACTGTGTCCTAGATTTTCAAACTGACAAGACCTTTGATGTGCTAAACTGAATATCCTTCTCTCATTGAAGGTTAGAGATCTACAGTAATATTCTTTGATAATATTAGTTGAAATTGCATCTGTAATACTAAAATATAGATGCTCATAGTGGATCAAACTTCAGATCCATGTAATCCAGGGTCCTGTCAATGCCGATGATCAACCATGAGTAATAGGGAAGAATAATATGGACAGGGTATCATGCAGAGGAGTTCACAGATACATCGAACTTCATTTGCAGGAACAGAGCAAAATGTTTTTTGTAAAACCCACTGATGCAGTTATGTCACTGTTTACCAAAAAGAACAGCTGGCATAGCTCAGAAAGTAGTGGGGCCATTGGGAATGCCGCTAGAAAACTTTAAAGATATTATTTAACATTAAATCATATTTCCAAAATGACCAATTCTCAGTGAGTTAAACCCATTGATTTCCTGTTTTGGTGATCAGACAGGCATATTTTCTGGAAAGGGGGCTGTTGATAAAGGGAATTGATTCATGTTCACATCTTGTTTGAATGAATCTTATTCTTTCTTGTGGAAAGCAATTTTGTTTGTTATGAAAAATTTCTTTTTGTTCTTAACATTTTCATATTTTTAAAGATGCATTTCAAATTACAACAGAGGGATGTGAAAGAGTACGTCGTACAGTAATATTTGATGAGTTACTGTACACATTATTAAGGTTCTTATTGTAAATTAGTAGGATCAAAATGATTAGCAATTGAGATAAAAAGTATTTGTCTTGCTTAATAATTTTTAACATAGTATACATTATATGATTCTCTTTCATGTTTACAGCTAACAGAGATCCTATAGTGAAAATTCTTGGTCCTGAATATGGGACTGTTGAAGGAGAAGATATGTCCATGTTACATTTACTTGACAAAGTGAAAAAAGATAATGACCTTGAAACAGAGATGAAAATGAAAATCTTTATTCTTCTTCGTCAGCTGGATTTGCAACTGCTTAATAGTTCTTTGAAACACATTTCACAGTAAGTACGTTTCAAATGGAAGCTAAGCATGTCAGCCAGTGCATTGTTTTGTTTTATTGTTAAATCAGATTGGTTTCAACCCACAACATGTGCTTGTGGTGTGACATAAAAAAATTCATTGAAATAACTTTCACTGTTCACTAAGTTATTGAAAATAACATTTTTTCTGAAGATCCTGCTGTAGGTGTGGGTATGCAAATGTCTGCCCACGCATGTGGTTTTTTTATTGCATATGTTTTGTGTTTTGGTAGCAAATTGAAGTAATTTGCACAAACAATGCAGTTACAGTTAAATATTTTCAAGGAAATGTTTGTTTCTTCATGGAAGCCTATTAAGTATTACTTTGAGTCTGTTTCATAGTTACAAGGACTTCATATTATTTATGGAACTAAAATTTCACTAAACTAAGAGATAAAATTAAGAAAACAATTGAAGGTGACCCATTTCCAGATTTTTGTTGCTACAATTGAGACTCAATGTAAAAGAAAAAAAATCATGTAATATTCTCTTCTAATTTCTCTGAGTGCATCCTTTTGATGAATACATTTTAGACCATTTTCTGTTAATTGCAGAGACATAAGACTAAATCCAGCTGCTATAACTAATGAAGTGAATCTTCTCAAGAATTTCTCTGGGAAAGGAGAAGATACGGTACTGGAATCACTGGAATATACATCAGGTCTAGATCTGATCATATGTCACATTTATATATACCCTTATTAAAAAGTACTTGACTTCTGAATGAAATTTGCTAAAATAATTTCAGTAATAAATTTAGAGTGTTTATTTCTACTTGAAAGTTATAAAGTAAAATAAAAAGAGTTTCAGATATGGAATGCTGCTTTTCAGCCTTTACTTACAGAAATAATCTCTGATTATATGAATGTCTTCAGTGGAAGCAGAGGAACTGAACTGAGTCCCTGATCCTGAAAAGTGCTAAGCACAGGTGCATTCTTAGTTGGATCAGGCCACGGGTCACAGCGCTTTGCATGATTGATTCCTAACAGTATGAATTCTTAAGAGTAAGGTATTAGTTTGGGACTTTGATTTGTATACATATTGTATTAATCATCAAGTGTAACTATTAAAAAATACTTTTAAACTGGATGAAAACACTATGTGAATTGGTTACAGATTACATATTCTCTAATGGATGCCGAGCTCCTCCCTGGAGACAAGTGCATGGAGAAATTTGTTATTTGGTCATCAAACCACATGACACTGATCCTTTGTATATCACTTGCAGCACAGCAGGAGTGTTTTTAAATGGAGTAAGTAATAATAAAGGATACCATGGAGTAATGAGTATTTTTATGTGCTAAAGTCACAAATCAATCAGCTTTAGCATAGTGATATTGAGGCTGTAAGACCTGCAGAACTAGTTTATTGGTACAAAAGGAGAAGACCCAGTTATAAATGTATGCTAGCTTTCACATACGTTCTGAGTGCTTTTTTTGGTAATTTTTATACTAGGAATCTATTCTGCACTCTTTGCTGACAGTGTTTGTTTAGCCTTTAAACCTGCCCTAACAGTCGTTCACACTATTCCTATTAAAAGCTAGTGTGGGACTAGATGCCTCTCTAGTGCCTCATTGCTCTTGATCTGAGGTGTAATATTCTTGTGTGTGGCTAATATAGCTTGCTTTTGTCTTGTTATAAATGATAAGCAGTTCTTTCCCTTTTCAGTGGAAGCTTTTTAGAAATTATTTTTCTCTTTTCTTCTGCTTTTCATTTTGGTTACCTCTTTGCTGAGAGATGGGTTTTATTTAGGCATAATAATCCCTTATGTGTGTTAAGCAGTGACCAGAGCTTTTACATTCATTTTGAAGAGAGACTGATTTCTGTCAAGCATAACTCCACAAATTGATTTCCTGAGTTAAAAAATCCAGGGAAATTTTTACTTAGGACATTTTTAATGGATAAAGCTCGTAAAGCTTAGGCTAGTCAGGTCACATTATTTTTTGATCCTTTTAGATATCTGCCATACTGCACCAGAAGCTTACATTTACTATAGTTGTTTACCATAAGCCATAAATTATTTTCAGTGGAACTACACACGTACAATTAACTGATAGTAATTACTTGCAGAATTCTATATAAGATCTTGATTATGTGTTGGGATCCATAGAGATGATGCATGTATCTTTACGAAGCATGATTGAAGTTTGATTTTAAATTTATTCTTTTTTTAAGGGTCAGCTAAAGGGCAAAGATGACATTGACTATGAAAGAAAAAGTGATGTATATAAAGATATTGTGACATTTTTAAGGGAGAGATCACCTAGATTTGTAGAAAATATGGCTAAACAGGTATGTATTTACTGATACTGGGTGTGTATTCTACTTTGTACAAACATACATTGTGCATTGGTAAGAATTACATTATAAACTTGGCTGAGTATTTATGTTCTTTATCAAAACTAAACCTGTGATTAAATGAAGAATTTTAAAGACTCTGGAATGTATTTATTGTTTTTCTTTGTATTTGTTTCAATATCTACTAAATATGTTCCTTTCATAAATAGCAAATAATACACTATTTCACATATTGTTCTATCATACCTTATTATGAGATTTGGTCCAACATGTGAGGTCAGCTTCTAATTTTACATAAAAAGTTTTGCTTGTCTTCTGGTGTTATTCTTTATGGAGCACTGGAAATGTTAAAGCTGGAAAATATGATATCCTTATGGAAAAGGTCAACTTTTTATGACAATATTTTTCTGTGATCAAAACCACTTGAATTTGTATCTTCATTCTTTGTAACCCAAATATGAATAATAGCCCAACTTTTTTACAAGAACTGCCTGATTTAAATGTCACAGCTGAGAGTTAAGCATCCAGCTTACACAGTATGTGTTGCTTCAGCCACTGTTAAATGCATTTCAGCTTTTATATAGAGCTTGGTGTTAGCTAGAATCACACAGTACCACTACAATTTTAGTTGTTTCATCATTCCTGATAAAACCTCTTTTTTTTTTTTCAGATTTCTAGTGTGGTTATAACAGATTAACAACTTGGTGGTAAAATCTGTTACAGGCTAAAACCTGTCCAAAGTTTTATTGTGGTTATTTATATGCAATTTTAATTATTGCAAGAAGGAAGTCATTAACAGGAAAATATTCTTTAGTTCTGATTTTCTGGGATGTAAGACTGGTATTTATTTTTTTGACATACAGATATTTGACAATTCTGAAAGAACAGAGGATTTCAAGTTGTATACATAAATGCAGTAGCTTATATTAACAGTAATGGAATTAAATTTTTAAGTTGTTCTGTTTGAAAGTCAAAAATGTGTTTTATCCCATAGGCAAGTATTTTTTAATGTTATATCTACGTATTGTTTTACATTTCATAAATGTGACAATAGATTAATGTTTATAGACATAATTCCTGGTTTAATGTATTTTCAAAGTGATTTGGCTTCATTTGATGGTCATTAAAGGTAAAATATGGTAATATTTTAGAATTTTTTTACAGTTCTAATCCTAAATGTTAATATAGATTAATATTAATATCAATAATAGAGATAATATACCTTTCTTTACTGGTTTTGTGCTCTTATAATAATACTGTAGCTATTCAATAAATGTGTACACTTATTAAATAAGAGTAAGTAAATAGAATTTCCCCTGTTTTCCTTCAGCTGTCATATAAATCATGTACTCAGTATTCTCTGACTGTGTAAATAAGTTTATGCTGAAGAGTATAAAATATACCGTGTTAGTAGTTTAGGAATATCATATCATGTTGCCTTGCTGAAGAGCTAGTTCAGTACATTCTGCAGTTTAAAACTAGAATTTAAAGCTGCAGAGCATTTGTATTTGAAGGAAACTCTTCTCTGCTCTAGAACTTGGAAAAGCAGAGAAAAGCTGTGTTTCCAAGGTTGCCTACATGAAACAAATTATGACTGGAAATAGTTTTGATTTATTTTATGAGGAGAGGAGAACTTCAAAAAGCTCATTACATGCACATATATTGCAAGTCCAATTAACTTTTGTAATGTCTTCTTGGCCTTGTTTAAGGTAACGTTTAGAATTACCGTGTTGGCAATAGTGCTGTAGGAAATGTACTTTTTAACATGTGCTTAGCTGGTCAAGCTGCAGCATCAATTCCCCTGTAACTTGTCTAGTTTATCATGTATTAAATTGTCTTGTCTAGAATACATTTTCAGAATGAGGGAATTAGCATGAGTTACTTTAGGATTAGACAGTTGGGTCAGGAAGCTTGGAACAGCTGATTCACATCAGGGACTAGTCAAAACCAGTCCATACTGTGACAGTCCCCTTAAAACTGCCTTGAATCAGATATGCAAAGGAATGTCTTCACCTATCTTCTAGTGACAGCTGCAATAATAATAAGTAGTGATCGTATGCTGTTCTTCCTGTAAAAATTGAATATGTTCCAATAGAGAATAAGAGTTGACAAGAGTCCTTTCTGTTCTGGGTGTTTTTGATCAGCCATGGTACTAGTCACAGACAGCTGAAGGATTGGTAGGTGCCACTCAGCTCCATTCTTGTATGTGACTTGTTCAACAATGTTTTGTCCCAAGAGACAGAAGATGAAAAAACTGAAATGGAATGTGTTTATGTTAGTTCTAAACTATATCGAATTAAATTACTTGGAACCGAAGTCTAGCGGTTTATCATAGGCTATTTTCAGTTTTACGTTCATTAGTTTTTTGTGGGAATTTTTTGTAAATCCTTTATGCAGGGAAATAGTTTTTATATAAATCATCCACTGGAAGCAGAATGACTGACTTTGCAATTCTTGGTCTTAAAACTCATTTGGAATTAAATTCTATAAAACTGCTTGTGTCACAAATTATTTAACATAGTAGAAATTGAACAACACCCAATACTCAGAAAGTTCCAAATTTAGCTAGTCCATTTATTTCAAAAACTTTAATTTACACATGGTAGCAGCTCCTTTCCAGGTTGATGTTTCATTCTTTTAAAGACTGTCTGATTTTATGCTTATAATCTAATTCAGCATTTAATACATACAATTTTTAAGCACAGCATCCTGGAATTGTGCTTGTAACTTATTGTTTTAATATGCATTATTCATATAGCAATATGACTGACAAACCATATCTCCTTCTTTTATTAGGAATATAATTTTTTTAAAGAACCAACATATGAGAAGAATTATCAGCGTATGGAAGTAGTTGATGCTAAGGTCTCTGGCCAATCCCAGAACCTTGATGATTTTACAGAAAAGAATGTATGTGAGAAAGTGAAAATTTCTGCAGCAAGAAGGAGATCCACTGACAAGAAGAAATTAGAACTGTCTATGAAGTGGAAGAATACTGGGATTTCTGCTTCCCACAGATAAGTAGTTATCTTTGAGTTTTCCTATAGATCCCTCTAACCTATGCTAATGATTGGACTACATGTTCTAGATTTGCATTATTATCTTAAGTTAGGAGCAATAAGACTAAATTTACTACGTGTTAATTTCTAATAAAAGAGTAAGGACTACCGAAGAGATTTCTCAGTTTTCTTCTGTCATGCTAAAAACTTTGATGATGTTATGTCATTTCTACATCAAGGCAGGGAAATATGTTGCAAGCATCTGAAGTAATGGTCCTCTAGGACTGATATTATCATATTTTTGGTGTTAAATGCGCTAGGAAGCAAGACAGAGTAGAAAATATAATCTAAACCACAGTTTCTGAGGGAGGCAAAAGAGATCCAGGATGGAAAATCAGGATGACTCTTACTTATGCTACCAATTTTTAATGATTTCATATTATATGAGACACTTTTCTAGCTCTTCTTAGCAAGAATTTTCACTAGTGAGATTATCTCAAAGTTTCAACACCCAAAAATAAGAGTATACATATATTGGATATTGTTGGATTTGTCTTCTGAAATCAGAACTCTGTTCTGATGTTAGCCATGTGTTGTATGTAGAAGTCTCTGTTCTGATTTCATGTTTCGTGATTTTGTGTTAATGGAAGAAGAAAAATATCATAAGAAAAGGCTTTATTTGCCATCCTACAAAAAAAAAAAAGTCAGTATCTTCTCAAGTCTGCCAATTTGACACGTTGCAAGAAACATTTTAAGAGATTTTGGATATGACTTACAGTCATCAGTTGAAAAAAAATGGATTTTCATTAACAGGATCTTTTTCCACAATCATTGTTTGAGCTGGAATCATGGGTAGTATTCTCTTTTATTGTTGTGACTGTGATAGTATGACCAGCCCAGGCCTGAAAGGACATTTTGTTTTCACAGCATTGTAGGTTAGGGACAAAAAAGCACCAGAGATTGAGCCCAGCTAGGCCTAGCAGTCTTCTTGGAATATGAGGAAAGCAAGGTACATTCTATTCAGCATGATCAAAGCTGTGGAACAGCACAGTGTGTGCAAGATCTAGGCAGACTTGAATTCTTCTGCCTGGAAGAAGGATGTCTAGGAGACAATAAGATTAAAAAAATCATGACTGGAGACAGTCAATAGGGAACAGATAGTCACTGTTTGTTCTAATATGAGAATAAAGGTCACCAAATTAAAATGAGACCAGTTCAGAACGAAGGGAGAGACTGTAACACATGGCTAAGCTCTAAAATTCTTTGCTATGGGACAGTAGAGGCCATTTGTTTCTGTGAGTTCAAAAAGCAACCAGACACGTTAATGGAAGAAAAATCCATCCAAAAGCCTTAATGCAAGGACAATCAGAAATTCCCTGAACCACAATTTGCTGAAGAATATTTTGGAAAACAGGTTTCTCTGTTCTTCCATTGTTCTCCTAATGTTACCTAGATGGCTGCTATTGATCATGGTTGGAGATGGTATCCTAGGACAGGTGGACCTGTGGTTTGGCTGTATATACTCATTCTTTGTTCTTGTATCACATACAGGTCAGCAAATTATAATTTTTCTACTATTCCACTGTTTTATTAAAGCAAAATGAATCATTTAAGACACAGCATACTTTCCTTTTCATGAATTTTATTGTGCAGGTTCATAAATTCATATGTACTGATATATGTCCAAACATAGCTTTTTGATTCTATGTATATATATATATATATATATAA